ACCCTTCTCCTATTGTCCATCCTTTCTTTCCCTTTATCTGTAAGTTTCCTTGTATAGTCTTCCTCTCTCCTCAAATTTAAATAACCCCATTTTTATCCATATTTCTAAGGCACTGTATTTTATTAAAGAAGTGTGGAAAAGTTCTCACACTGATAGTATATGTAACAAAAAAGATATTAAAATGCAAATTCTGTCATTCATAGTGATACCGTGTAACAGCTTGGATGTCCAACAGATCTTTCATGCTCTTTATGTGCCCTCATATTTGACTAATTATCTCTGTGTTGTGTTTCATGTTGTGTTTGGCTTTCATATTTTTCAGAATATTTATGAGGGTATTTAATACTTTATTTTTTATTTTATGCATGTAAGTGTATTGCCTGCAGGTATGTAAGTGCACTCATGTCATGTAATACTCTCAGAAGTCAGTAAAGGGTGTCAGATTCACTGGAAATGGATGTATGGACAGTTACTAGCCACCATATGGATGCTAAGAATGGAACCCAGGTCCTCTGCAAGAGCAATCAGTGTTCTTAACCCATGACCCATCTGTCAAGCCCCATCCACGAGTGTTTTTTAGGTTAGAGAAGTAGACTTATGCCAGTTCATTAGAGTAGACAATACAGAAAATAAAAAGATAACTTATCATTAATTTGGACTGCCTAGCATCCAGCCTGTCTAGTGAAGCTACATTTTTTCATCCCTTGGGCCTTTGTTCCAATTATTGTCTGTGAGAGGTGCCAAAAGTGATTATACTGATTCCTAAGTCACTTTACACATGGGGCTCCAAGGACCCTTTAGCTTCTTGGATCTGTTGTGTTCAATTATATTTGGAAAATACAAAATTATAGTTATAGTATTTAGTGCTAAATGTATCCAGATCAACTCTTTATTTTCTCAATAGCCCATCATATCTCCAGCAATTTAGACGATGTATTACTGCTTTGTAGCTAACAAGAAAGCAAGAACATAGCTTCTGTGTTCAATGTGATGGAAGCTCTCCTATGGGAAAAGCTCCATGAAAGAGGACTCCAGGTACTTTAGGGCCTTTTCTGGATGAATGTGTTTCCCAGAGAAAACTTAGCATTTGCGTCTCTACTGCAATATCCTTGTTCAGCTTGGGTCACATTGTGAGCAGCTACAAATAACAGACTGTAGATGCCATGAAACAGCCACTGCTAAAGTGTAAGTGGGAGCTTCCTTTTCACATCTACTTCCTGTGCGCCATGAAGGTTGTAGGAAAAGAGGTGAATGGAGAACGGAATAGTTCATTTTCCTTTAATAACAGTTTTATATTTAATATTTTGAATACTAATATTAGCTTTTCAGGGAACAAGCTGACAATCATTTATAATTTTTTTCTGGAACGATGACACTAGAACTAATAACCATGATTGGTATAGGAAGGTTCAAAAATAAAATTCCCCAGAAACATAATATATATTTAAGTGTATGGACATAAAATAACAGAACAATGACATTTTAACTGAAATTTTAATTATCCATTTCTGATATTTTTCAAAATTAAAATACATTCTGGAAATTAAATATTCAAGACAGGATTTAGTCACTATGAATATTATTATACTACTAAATTTTAAACATTTATTCAAGTCTTGAATTCAGGAAAAGGAGTATATTGATGATTAAGGCTGAAAGGTAGTCTTAAGACCCTGACAAAGCTGAATCAAATACCAAAGGAACTATAGAGTTGTGAGTTAGGATTGGGAAAGGAGGAAGACATGGTCTCCTGTCATGGCCTGAAATTCCCAGCATTTGGGACATAGTGCAAGAAGACAGAAAGCTTGAGGGCAGCCTGGGCTAGGCAATGCGATTCTGTATAAAGAATATACAAAAAGAAGCAAACCACAAAAGGTTCTCAAAGTGTGCGCTTAGCCAACCTCTAATGGCAGTACACTATCATTTGGGTATGCACCCCACTACATTTATTTACTGTGACCATAGGCTAGGATCCCTGTTGAAAATGGTGTGCTCTACCTTGGAGGATATGCTTAGTAAATGGGACCCATAGTAGAGTACACAGTGCTCACTCAGGCAAAAATAGAAAAACAAAGAGGCATTGTTTAAAGTTCTATAAGCATATGAATCAAGACTTTCTGAAGTTAATGTATTCAGTAGCTCACTTAGGTCAGAGGAATTATTTCTAATGTTCTATAGAACAATATGATGGCTAAGCCAACAGCAATGCAGTGAAGTTTTCACAATAGCTAGTACTAATAACTGTTCATTTTCACAACAGGAAGAAAAAGCACTTGAGGTGATAGATACGGCACACATTGCCTACTGGGTTGAAAGGTCCCACTAAATTCCATAAATCTATGTAGTTAATATCTTCCAATTGAATATATAACTATATTTTTCAATGCATATTTTACTGAATTTTTGAGGATTTCATACATTTTAATCATATTTAGACTTCCCCTATTTGCACCCCTCATAGCCTGCCCACAGGATATCATGCATTCTGTTATGTTAAAGGCTATCAAGTCAGGTGTGTACCGAGATGTCTCAGTGTGAGTTCATCCACTGGAGGCTGTTCAGTCTAACTAGATTCACTCCCTGAAAGATCAATATCAACTTTCCCTTACCCTAGAGTGGTCAGCTACCAATAGTTCCTCAGCTAAGGAACTAGCTGAGGGCTCAAGTAACTTTCTGATGGAAATATTCCAAACCCCTAAGACAACAGTTTATTCTTAAGACAATTCCTTTATATTTAGTAAAGGTAAGAAAATTTAAGCTCTAAGAAACTTATTCACAGGTTAAAACCTCCTACTATATATTGATATAATTGAGGGTACTTTCAAAAATATTATTTGCATAGCTGATGATCTTTTAAAATATTTTTATTGGTTTAAGAATTTTATACAATGTATTTTGGTCATAGTCAAACACCCCCCACTCTCTCTAGTCACACCTTACTATGCCGCCACCAACTTCATATACTCTATAATTATTTGTCTATTTTTTTTTGGTATTTTTGAGACAGGGTCTCCTTTTAGCCCCAGCTGTCCTGGAACTCACTATGTAGACCAGGCTGGCCTCAAACTCCCAAAGATCTGCCTGCCTCTGGCTTCCAAGTGCTGGGATTAAAGGTGTACAGCACCACGCCCGTTTATTTAAGGCCTATGGAATCCATTCTGTATTGCCAAGTATTATTGGGTGTGGCTCTATCCCTTGGAGTCTGGTCAACCTACCAGGCATCACAGCAATAAGGAAAACTGACTCTCTCTTTCCTAGCATCCAACAATTGCCAATAGATCTGTTGCTGGGGCCAGGGATTCCTGCTTAACTTCTCCATCTATGCTGTGTCCCTGTCTGTTTTGAGTTGCACAGGTCTTGTGTATGCTGTCATATAATTTATTATAAGTTTGTATGTACAAATACTCTGTGATGTCCAGGCAACACAGTCTCTTTGCATTCATCTAAAACTGCTAACTCCTAAAACCTTTCAGTCCCCTCTTCTGCAATGATCCCTGAGCCTTTGGAAAAGAGGGTTCAATATAGGTGTCCTGTTTAGGACTGAGAATTCTGCAATCTCTTGTTCTGTGCACACTGGCCAGTTGTAGGTCTCTGTGTTAATCTCTACCTACTGATGATCTTCACAGAAAATAACAAAGTCTATAACCGTCAGTCCTAATTCTTCACTGTAATAAGTATTGAACAGAGAAATCAAAATACTAGAATGTATAAGGAATAAAATAGAGAATATTATGGGATGGAGAGATGGCTCAGCAGTTAGGACCACTGACTGCTCTTGCAGAGGAACCCGGGTTAAATTCCCAGCACCCACATGATGGCTATGAACTGTGGTTAATTCCAGTCCAGGGGCATCCAGAGCCCTCTTCTGACCTCCACGGCACTGCATGACACAGATGCACTAACATGCATGCAGGCAATACATTCATACACATAAAAAATAGGGAAAATTAGCTAGCTGTATTTTTACACTTTTAAACCCTCAGCCCTGATATTACACATGAATTAAGGACTGATTGGAACCATGCCTTTAGGATTTGTCCTTGGCTATTCTACTACACCAGCTGTAACAACATCATTTCTAACACTCCCATCCCTTATTCTTCCATCATCTTGTTGTCCATAATAGACAAGAAATTGAAGAGTAACTCTGTCTTTGTTTTGATAACCAATAAAACCACACTGTTTGTAAATATAAAGTATTAAGTCAAATGTATTCCAATAGTCAGAGGATAGTGAGTTATACATAGACTTATGAAAACTGACTGGCCACCTATGTAGAAAATAACGGGATTATACTTTAGCTCTTGATGCATCAGATTTCCCATTTGAAAGTAGGTATAGGGCCAGCAAAATGTTTCTGTGTCTTAAGGCACTGGCCTCCAAACCTGATGACCAGAGCACAAGCCCTGAGGCCCACATGGAGTAAGGAAAGAACCAACCCCAACAAGTTGTCCTCTGAACTCCAAACATGCTGCATGAAAATAATAAATATATAAACAAATATATAATCAATTGATTACATGAGATATTAGATGGCCCTACTTCACTGGCCATTCTAAGAAATATGGTAACGCTTATGTGGTATAGTTATAATGCTATTTGGTACAGGGCAAAAGATTTGTGCTTAAATGTTGTTTCTATTGAGTTAAATCACAGAACGATTCATGATGGAACATTTTAAAGAGTGAGTGAGGTTAGAAGCCAAAAATTAACAGAAGTACAAGTGAATACGTGATGCAGAATGCAAGAAAAAATGAAGATCTGAAAGGACAAAAAAGTAAGGGTGCAGTTTGTGATGACGTTTAGCAGCTTTGTCTGAACTTTCTCAATACTATATTGTGCAAATGTGCACTGAGCTGAACACCTAAATGACTGAAACCGTGACTACATATGGACATATGTGCATACACATTGTCACTGTGAATTCCCCACATTAATAAAAATAATTCAGTCTTCAGGTTAATGGAAGATGTGTGAGTTTTGTCATTAACAGTTTTGTCATTGAATTCCACAGTTCACGTCGCCTTGACATTAACATTTATGTCTGGAAAATTCCAAAAGCTGATGATGAGAAACCACACGTCAGTTACAACATTCATCCTCCTGGGACTCACAGATGATCCTCAACATAGAAATCTCATTTACAACTGCCTGTGTTCCAAGACACTTATACAGTATTTCAACTGGAGACAGAGAAATTACCTATAATGCATGTGTTACTCAATTATTTTTTACAGCTCTATTTGGAGTAACTGAGTTTTTTCTTTTGGCTACCATGTCATATGATCGTTATGTGGCCATCTGCAAACCTTTGCATTATATGACTGTCATGAACAACAAGGTGTGTAAAACAATGATTATTTCTTGCTGGATATCAGCACTCATGATCATCCTCCCGCCACTTAGTTTAGTCTTACATCTGGAATTCTGTGATTCTAATATCATTGATCATTTTGCATGTGATGCAAACCCTCTCCTGAAAATATCGTGCTCAGACACGTGGTTAATTGAGCAGATGGTTATAGCCTCTGCTGTGTTGACTTTCATCATTACTCTTATATGTGTACTCTTCTCCTACATATACATCATAAGGACAATTCTAAAATTCCCTTCTGCTCAGCAAAAGAAAAAGGCCTTTTCCACCTGCTCTTCTCACATGATCGTCGTTTCCATCACCTACGGCAGCTGCATCTTCATCTACATCAAACCATCTGCAAAGGAAGAGGTGACCATTAACAAAGGTGTGTCAGTGCTCATTTCCTCCATATCACCCATGCTGAACCCTTTTATATATACTCTGAGGAACAAGCAAGTTCGACAAGCCTCTCACAACTTACTCAAGAAAACAGCATTTCTCTTAAAGAAGTAAAATTTGGCTAAGTTAACAAATCAAAGCATACACATTTACTTCTTATTTTTCATGACCAATATCCAGCTTTGTAATTTCCTTGCATATAGTTCAGTGAGGTTAGCCCCATCAGCTGTTAAGCAAGAATTTCCCATGTTTGTTTACTGCAAAACTAATTACTGAGCAATGTGATACATTAAATGTGTCACTTAGTGGGTGGAGGCTTGGTTCAGTGGTTAAGAGTATTGGCTGCTCTTGCAGAAGACCTGCATTCAATTCCCAGCACCCACATGGCGGCTGCCAACCTTCTGTAACTCAAATTCCAGGGGATCTGACACCCTTTTCTGCCTCACAGGTACTGTATGACACGGGTCTAATTACATACATGCAGGCAATACACTCATACACACAAAATAGAAATAGTAAAGTATTTTTTAATGTGTCACTTTGAATCTCTGAACCATAACTTACAAGAGCATGACTGTGTCTCCTTCTTTCTAGATAATTTTCTCACATACAATAATGATGAACCTTTCCTTTCCTACAACTTTTATGAGAAATCATTCTTAAACAAGATATAAGTTCTTTCCCCATTAAAATATGATACATTTAACTAACAAATTTTAAGAAATTTGATTTTTTTTTTTATTTTGATTAATGTGTATGAGTGTATTGCCTGCATTCATGCAGCAAGATATAAGTTCTTTCCCCATTAAAATATGATATATTTAACTAATAAATTTTAAGAAATTTGATTTTTTTTTTATTTTGATTAATGTGTATGAGTGTATTGCCTGCATTCATGCAAGTGCACCCGTATTGTGTGGTGCACATAGTGGTCAGAAGTGGGTGCTGGATCCCCTGGAACTGGAGTTACAGATGGTAGTTAGCCACCATGTGGGTGCTGAGAATTGAACCTGGGACCTCTGGAAGAGCAGTCAGTGCTCTTAACCACTGAGCTATCTCTCCAGCCCCTTCACATTAAAATATCTATAGAAAAAATGACTGATTTGAGGAAAAATATTAAAGAGGGAATATAAACAAAAGTATAACTTTCTGGCACACAACATTAAATGGTTAATGCCATAACTGTATACTGAGCTATCTCTCCAGCCCCTTCACATTAAAATATCTATAGAAAAATGACTGATTTGAGGAAAAATATTAAAGAGGGAATATAAATAAAAGTATAACTTTCTGGCACACAACATTAAATGGTTAATGCCATAACTGTATAGGAAGCTTCAATGATTCAACTAAAAACACAATTTATGGCCGTGTATGTTAACATATACCTTTAATCCCAGCACTTGGGAGGCAGAGGCAGGTATACCTCCATGAGAATGAGGCCAGCATATCTATTTAGGGAGTTCCAGGCCAGCTGCAGCTACAGGGAGATCCTGTCTCCCAAAAATTAAACTTAAAAAAAAACACAGCTTATTATGTGTGCCAAGAAAAATTAAAATATTTAGTTCACTAAAATGAAACAAATTACCTTTAATAGAAAGAACACATAATATCATTATTAATCAAAACCATGATCCATATTTTATTCATCACATTTTCATGAATTATTTTATTTTATTTGTATTGAATAAATGTATATTTAGTAACAGCAGCAATTTCTTGAGAAAAATATAAATTGAACTCATTTAAAACAGTCTAAAGCAATCTTTTAATACTTGTAGGTTAAAACAAATCTATGATTTTATATCCTCTTTCATGTCTTTCAAAATATAAAAATAACCAAAAGATAGTCACATTATTTTTATTAAAAAAATGGAATGCTTCACAAATTTACATGTTGTCCTTGCACAGGAGCCATGCTAATCTTCTCTGTTACCATTCCAATTTTAGTGAATATGCTTCCATAGCAAGCACTCATGAATTATTTTATTGTTTAAAAGTAACAAGTATACAACATTTAAAATGAATCAGGCACTTTAACACACAATTTGTATGTAAACACCAAAATAATTACCAAATTACATATAACTCTTCACCTATAAATCTGCATCTAGAAATCTATGCCAAAATTTTAATTGCCAATAAGTATCACAGTCACTTTTTAAGTAGTAAAAGGTTAGAAGCAACCAAATTTACATGACTTGACAATGTATAAGTCCATGAGGGAGTTGGGCTGAAAGTATGACTCGTTGGGAACATATATGCCTAGTCACCTTACAAGAAGATCTAGCAACCTGAGTCAAGAATATTTATCTGGGGTGCTGGAGAGATGGCTCAGTGGTTAAGACCACTGACAGCTCTTTCAGAAGACCCAGGTTCGATTCCCAGCACCCATATGTCAACTAACAACATCCATAACTCCAATTCCAGGGGAAATCCAATGCCATCTTCTGACCATCTTCAGGCATTGGGTGACATTGGCCACTTACCTACATGCAACAATATATTCATACACAAAAAATAAAATTAACAGATAAAATATGTTTTAACTTTTCCAAAGAATATTGACTTACTTTGTAAAGTAAGAGCTGGAATGCAAAAAAATTTAAAGGATTTCTACCTACTTTCTAAGTCTAGCTTCAGTTTACTTTTAAGGACCATGGTAAAACAACCCCAAAACCAGTTCTTATTCATGAAAAATTGAGTAGCCAAAGGAAGTGGTAGGTATAAAACCAGCCACTGTAAAACTAAGGAGAGAAATGAGAAGTTCATAAATTTCTGCTGCATGTTAGTAAATGAAACAAACTGCCTCCAGACTTCTCCTGAACCCTCAGGACATATGCCTAACAAGGTTGTGGGATTAAGGAATGTAGAAATCTTCAAAGAGGCTAGCTCTTTCAGCTTTCTACATCTCCAAAAGACGTTTTCTTACATTAAAGAAAAATAAAATGCTTTATTGTGGGTAACATAAAACTGAAAAGAGGATTGACAGATGAATTGGGTCAGTTGGGAGAAAGCACCATGACACAGACAAAACTCTGGCCGGAGAGCCTTTATTAGTAGAGGAAAGGTTCACGGGAATATTCCCTTGGGATAGGGAAGTTGTCAGTCTACAGGTTGTGGGCTGGGGGTCTTCATGAGGGGGTTGGGGGGATGACGAATGTGAGAACATTTTTTTAAAGGTAGGAGAGAGGGTGCCCCAGGCTTATCAGAACAGATTCCATTAAAAGCACCCCCTTCAGTTCCCTTCCAAGGCCAGGATCTGGGTTATGGGGTAAGGAGAAACAGTTCCTACATTTATGGATCCGAAGTGCAGGAGCCTGTTCTGCTTCCAAGATCATCAAAGGGGAAGCAGGCTGTCTTTGACCAAAAGGAGCAGAGAGTCTGTTTCTCTTGGCTTCAAAGACCAGGGTACTTATTATCTCAGTTCCCGCATTCTCAGGGGCTTGCAAAACCAGGAGTTCCTGTTGGGGAGGGGGCTGCTGCAGATCCAAACCCTAACAAGGATATTGAATTATTTCTCAGAATTCCTGTGAGTTGGAAATCTTGAAGCCTTGCGGGCATGAAAAAAAATAATTTTGCATGTTACAAACTAATGTCATTGCAAGCCAAATGTGTAAGAAAGAATTTTTGCAAGAAATGACCTGGGAGCATGTGGGGATCTGATACATAAGTCCTGAACTCTACAAATACTTCTCCCTCCAGGCATCCCACTGCAATCTCTGAAAACAACAGCAGTTTATGACAGGCTAGGCAGAATACACCCTAGAAACAAAGAGTAGGTGAAAGGTCCTCCCTGCATCTGACCAATGCTTGAATTATCCTCAGGCCATAATTAAAGCTGGGACAGGTAAAGAAGAATCTGATAAAATGCCTGAAAAGTGTCAGACATCAGAAGTTAGAAATCGCCTGTTTTCATTCTGAATCTATAGCTTTGCCCCTCTAATGACTGGCTCACAGGGATTAATCAGTGAGGATGTATTCTTAAGATAACATAGAAGTTATTTTAATGTACTTATGAGTTTTCTACTACATCAGTATTGGCATTATCAATTAACAGCACAGAACTGTTACTGGCATATTATGTGAGAACCCACGGGAAAATAATGTTAAACAGCACTGATTTACCCACTGCTCTTTCTCTTGGCTGGCTTTGGCACTTTGGCTCCATTGTACTTAGCTCAAGAACTTGTCACCTTCAGTCCTGTCCTATTGACCCTTAAATTCAACTACCATTAAAGACAAAGTCCTATAGTTTATATTTATATCTATATTTATATTTATATTTATCCCTGAGATTGACTGGAACCTGTTTTGGCCACCAAAAATTTGCCTTAATTTTGAGGAAATTAATTATTGTGAGTCCTTTCCATTAGAAAATGACACAGTCCAAGGACTGGCAACTATTATGCATTTTTAGCCATTGTTCCAAGCAGTAATCATTTTCGATATCATTTTATCTCTCTCCCCCAGTATATCGATTCTATAAGGAACATTACTTAATAAACTTTACTTAATAGGTAACTGTTCTTTACTTGGGCTGAGGGACAATATATCAATAACTAATGAACACTTTAAAATTATTCAGTAATCTTGGCCTTGAAGATGCAATTTGAGCTACCTTTTCAAAAATATTATTATTCCCTATATCCCTGACATATTCAATAGCATGCACATCAAAACTTTTATACTTTCAAAGAGTATCCCTTTTGGTATATGAATTATGTTATCTTTATTTTTTATAGTAAACATGCAAAGATTTTGTATAATGTAGGATCAGAGAATCAGTCAGTCAACATGCAGCATATCCAGTAATAAACATGAATTATTTTGGTTTTACTTTTTTTTCTTTCTCATATTGAACAATAGAGGACAAAATAAAATCGATTGGGGAATAAAATCAAGTTTATCTTAGTGGTGACAACAAAATTACATAATGTGGTTTATGTTGATTTGCATGGCATAGTTTGCATAGCACATTAAAAACAACTCATCAGAGGCTTGGTGAGATGGCTCAGTGCTTAAGACACTGGCTGTTCTTGCAGAGGAGTCAGGCTCAGTTCCCAGCATCCACATGGCAGCTAACAACCATCTGTATCTCCAGTTCCAGGGAATCCAAAACCCTCTTTTGATTTACATGGGCACTGCACAACATGGATATAGTTACATCCACATTAAAAAAATGTTTTTAAAGACTTGTTAAAATTCCATAGATGGGAGCAGAAAGAGCCTCAGTGGTTAAGAGCACTTGCTGCTCTCCCAGAGGCCCACAGCCAAATTTGCAG